TCAAGTGAATGGATGAAATCTTGGATGAGAGGTTTATTCTCTAGTCTGGTGGTTTGGAGTAATTGTTGCTATTGAAGAAATTCACCAGAAGTTGATTATCTGCTAATAATTTCCATGCTAAAATCTAGAGCATGGGCTATTCTCAAGTGCCAAAGTTGCAGCTTCTGCCACGATCACTAATACCTTCATTGATGTTGCCTTGAATGGTGATAGTTTATGTTTGGTTGGACTGAGCATTGATGATGAGTACCCTAAGTCATGCTGCTCTGTGTGCTGCTGCTGCATGATCGGGATTTAATGGTGCATCTGTAAAGCATCTGGGACCTGTAAATAACGCCAGAACGGTTACCTTCTAGTCCGGTGATTTACTTATTGCCGGGTGCAATTGTTGTTGTTGTGTACTTGTGTTACTTGTGTCCTTCCTGTAGTTAAATTGATTGGAAAGGGTTTGTAGCCTAGGGTTACAAGCAGGTCCTGGGTTTTCCTGTAGAAGAGAATATTATATGATTTAACGGTGAATATTCTAGGATTTAACGACGTTGTGCAGACGATGTTTCCGTCGATAATGAGGTGTCTATGATGATTTGTTAATCTCAAGATTTCTTTGGTCTAGTTTTGAATATGCTCATAGGGGTAGTGCGTTCATAGAGGTGAGTGTATGTGTTGTGAGAACAACTTGTGTAATTGACCAACAACAACAACAAGCAAAGCCTTTAAGTTCTAAACAAGTTGGGGTAGGCTAGAGTTGAAATCCAGTAGAAGCTATCAAGGTTTAGGCACATGAATAGCTGTTTTTTAAGCTCTCCTATTTAAGGCAAAGTCTTTGAATATATTCTATCATTTCAAGTCTTTTATTGTCTCTATCCAAGTCAACTTTGGTCTTCTCTATTTCTCTTCACGTTACTATTCTGGCTTAGGATTGCACTAAACACCGGTGTCTCTGGAGGTCTCCGTTGGAGGTCTCCGTTGGACATGTCCAAACCATCTCAACCGTTGTTGGATAAGCTTTTCTTTAATTGATGCTATCCCTAATCTATCACGTATATCATCGTTCCGAACTCGATCCCTTCTTGTATGACCGCAAATCTAACGCAACATACACATTTCCGCGACACTTATCTGTTGAACATGTCGTCTTTTCGTAGGCTAATATTATGCACCATACAACATAGCAGGTCTAATCGCCGTCCTATAAAACTTGTTTTTAGCTTTTGTGGTACTCTTTTGTCACATAGAACACCAGATGCTTGGCGCCACTTTATCCATCCTGCTTTGATTCTATAGCTAACATCTTTATCAATATTCCCGTCTCTCTGTAGCATTGATCATAAATATCAGAAGGTATCCTTCTTAGGCACTACTTGACCTTCCAAACTAATATCTTCCTCCTCCCGAGTAGTAGTGCCGAAGTCACATCTCATATACTCAGTTTTAATTCTACTGGATCTAAAACCTTTGGACTCCAAAGTCTCGCCATAACTTTAGTTTCTGATTCACTCTTGTCTGGCTTTCATCAACTAGCACTACATCGTCCGCGAAAAGCATACATCAAGGGATGTCCCCTTGTATGTCCCTTGTGACCTCATCCATCACTAAGGCAAACAGATAAGGGCTTAAAGTTGACCCTTGATGTAGTCCTATCCTAATCGGAAAGTCACCCGTGTCTCCATCACTTGTTCGAACACTAGTAACAACATTGTTGTATATGTCCTTAATGAGCCCGACATACTTCATTGAGACTTTATGTTTGTTCAAAGCCCACCACATAACATTCCTTGGTATTTTATCATAAGCCTTCTCCAAGTCAATAAAAACCATGTGTAGGTCCTTCTTCTTTTCTCTATACCGCTCCATAACTTGTCTTATTAAGAAAATGGCTTTCATGGTTGACCTTCCGGACATGAAACCAAATTGGTTCATAGAGACGTCATCTCTGCTTACAGCTGCATTGCCAGCTCAATTTATATTAACTCTGGCCTTAACGGACGTCATCTTATGGGCTGCCCACGTTTGCTTGAATCTCCTTAGTCCTGTTATTACTATCTATGGCAAATTATCCACAGTAAATTGTTGTGATCCTTTTGAAATCCAATGGTATTAGAAGCAGATGCATTATGGTTTTTTAATTTCTTTTGCTCCTGCACCACGTCCAATGAAGTTTAATCTGTCCCTGTGGTGCTTTATGAGATAATTTCTGTTGTCCATTATTAACAGGTTTTGGAGGTAGTTGATATGGATCGAAAGATCGACACTGTTCATGAGCTCAAGAATTATGTTCTGAAATGTATTGGTGATCAAAATGGTAACCATGTGATCCAGAAATGCATTGAGTGTGTTCCTGAAGACCGCATTCCGTTTGTTATTGATCCTATACTTTCACAAATTCTTGTTCTATGTACCCATCAATATGGCTGCAGAGTCATTCAGGTACATGACACATCATTGCCTTTTTTTTAAGATGAGTCTTGTTCCATGTACTAACTAATTTCATTGTTATAGAGAGTTCTGGAGCATTGCCATGATCCTGTGACTCAAAGTGCTATCATGAATGAAATTGTGCAGCAGACCTTCCATTTGACGGATGATAAATTTGGGAACTATGTTGTTCAAGTATGTGAATTGTTTCTATTCCTATATGTGTTTATTTGAATATCTAACTTTTGATTTCCATGGTACACTGGAATATTCACTTCGATGAACTCAGGAACTATGTCAATGATATTTGAGCAAAATCAAGCTAATTTCTCTGCTGTGCTTTTATAATCTGTTGCATTTGCCTCTGCTGTACTAACTTTTTTTTTTGTGAAATCTGTTTCGAACATTCTATAGCATGTGTTGGAACACGGGAAACCAGAAGAGCGTTCATCCATCATTCAAAAGCTCTCAGGGCAAGTGGTCATCTTGAGCAAGCAAAAGTTTGCTTCTAATGTCATTGAGAAATGTTTGGCTTTTGGAACTCCTGAAGAACGTGATAGCCTTATTGGGGAAATCATTTCATCTGGTCAAACATTTCAGGTTTGTCCTATTTTATATTGTTATAAGCTGGTACATTTAGCATTCCATAGACAAACCATTCTGCTTTTATGCTTGATTCAGTGTTTCAAGACATTAAGATTACATCTGCATAATTTTACCTAATTCATGTCATGGCTGTATTTTTTCATGACAATAATTGATGGCACATGGTGCTTTGGCTTTACTCTGTTTGAGCATGCATGCTGTGTTGCACGATGGTTATTGTTTTTTTCTTGTGTAGCTAGAATTATTTTCACATCTGTTGCTAATTTCATAAGAGCCTTGTGGAATATTATGTATTCTGGGCACTAGCTGCTAGATTTCAATTGGCACAGGTAGTATGTATATGTTGTACATACACATGGTGCTTTGGCTTTACTCTGTTTGAGCATGCATGCCGTGTACATACACATGTTGGAGTCTAAAAAGTTTGATGGCGCTCTTAAATTTTTGGAGTTTATAGCTAATGCAATTTTTCATTCATGACTCATGACTATATTCATCTGTTTTGCAGGAATTGATGAAGGATCAGTTTGGTAACTATGTTATACAGCGAGTCCTTCAGACATGTGATGATAAATACCTAGAGATGATCCTCTCAAGCATCAAACTACACTTGAATGAACTGAAGAATTACACGTATGGGAAGCACATTGTGGCACGTGTCGAGAAGCTAATCGTTACAGGAGGTAAGCAGACAGCAAATAGTCTGCATCGCGATGCAAAAAGAAAGAATTCAATGTACTCTTATACTGATGAACCAAACACTTTCTGGTTTCTGATTTCAGAGAAGCGAGCAAGGATGGCGTCCCTGAGTGGCCAACATCAGCAGCCACCGAACTGTACAGCTGTAGACGCACACTAATCCCTTTTTGTGCATGCATTGGCGTCAAATACGACTACACACTAATCCCCTTTCACGCATTGGCGTCAAATATGGCGAGCAGGTGGCACAAGTGACGTGGAGAGTTTGGTTTTACTACATGGTTTAAATAGGGTACTTGCAGATAAATCAAGGATTTATGTTGCCTGTATATAACCAGGTGTGGTGTTTTCGGGAACCCAGTAGTTAGATGAGAGCTAGGTTTTCGGCACTGTAAATCCTTTTGGCCATGTACAAGTTTATTACATACAGTGGATAATAGATGTACATTGTGCTGGAGTGTTAGCTTTTGGTAGTAGGTGAGAGCGGTGCTGTGTAATATATCTGGTGCTGCTGGTCTTCTGATGAAGTCGGTAGAGCTCCAGTGCTGTTGGTTCACCGTACGACGTACAGTTGCTCTTTTGTAGCACTGATCCTTAAAATCTATGCTCGTTTTTCTTTCTTTCTTTCTTTCTTTCTTTCTTTCTTTCTTTCTTTCTTTTTTTCCTTGATGGCTACGTATGCTTGTCTCATCTGTTAAATTTTTAGCGAGGCTCTGGGATCTTTTCCGATAATATTTCTTTCTTTTCTATGTACTGCCATATTTTTTGTGAGGTTCTGACTACTGAGGTGTGACACGGAAGCAGGAGGGGACGGGGTTGCATATTATGGGCCACTTTGGTAGAGCTCTTATTCTTGATTCTTGAGTTTCACTTTTTGATTCTTAGAAAGAGTGATTTTGGTGGGGAGCAGGTGAGAATCAATCCTGAAGTGATTCCTGTGATAAATGAATGAGGAGCATTGGAAAATGGTGGAGAGTAGATTATTTTTTGAGCTCCAAGCTTGTAGTGTAAATGAAAAAGTGGTTCTTCTCAGCTTCTCACCAGAATTCAGTTGTAAGTGCTAGAATCCAGTTGTATTTTAAGTGTTTGGCAGGGTTCCAAAAGCTTGAGTGTGAGGTTAGGACTAGGACTTGTGCCAAAGGTGCCCTATGGTACCCCCTTTGGACAGCCTTGTCCACTTTTATTTGTTATATATATTAATATCGTAATAAGGTGCTGGTATATACATATGGGGATAGCAAGGTACAGGATACTTGCATGGCTAGCGGGATTAAGGGTCCTCATGGTCTCCCTTTGGTAGTGGGGCATGGTTTCCCTTTGGTAGCGGGGTCCTCATGCTGTCCATGTACATCGTCATCCTTATTATTATTACCGATTTTCTTGAATGTTGCAGCATATGCCTTTGCTCGTCCTGCGACTTCATCACGGCTGCTCTTTTCTACAGCCATTATAGGGGGCATCTCTGCAGTGCAATTGCTGATGAGGACCAGCATGAGAACAGCACACACAAGAATCTTCATTGCTCTTAGTGAACCTGATCGATTAACCTGAGGGCATACAAGTCATAAGTATTAATGAGATGGTAATATATCTCTGTATATATACTTTGTTCTATAGATTCTTTTTCTTGCCAGAGACTCTATCTGAAAGATAAATCGACTTACAGATCATCAGAAGTAGTCAAGTTTTGTACTATATACGCTCATGCAACAGTAGGAATATACATAAATATGCACATATTACTAAGAGAAAAATATTCTTTGTACATGACTTTTGCTATATACCAAGATATACGTCATGTCACATCTATATGTATATATAGTAAAAACAATAATTTGAAACTAAGTAAAAACTATAACTCGAAAGAAATTATATGAAGTGAGCTACAAAAGAACTGTTGTGTTATTTTGGGCGTACCAGCTATAAGGAGCTCCTTGCAAGCAATGATCTTTGATTTGTTCGATATGTACTTTCGTGGTGGTACCCAATTTATAGAAGGTGTAAAGACTGTTTGAGCCAAGTACTTTTTGACGTATGCCATGTTGCTAGTCCTGTAAATTTGCACGATAGGCAATATATGGTGGGCTGCAACGTTATCTCATGAATTTGAAATGACTGGTTGCGATCAGTTCTTGTCTACCATCAAACTAGTGGTGTCATGGTGCCTGAGTCAATTTACTGTGAATTTGGAAGGTGATGCAATTAAAGGAGCAATATTTTGGCTACCGAATGATGACATTGTAGTTTCAGCCAATTCATGTGTGCATAACTATTGACTACTGTAGATTTTCTGCTAGTAGAATATCTCAAATGACAGGAATTGGAAAGTAATTTAATAATGAAATGGAAAACACTTTCTAGATATTGGTTTCAATTTATGGGATCCAAAGGCTCTAAAAGGAATATATTTACGGTACTGCTAGCGTCTGGAGGTCTGGACGGACGCTCACGGTTGCTGGCCGGCAGCGCTGCTCGCCCGCCTTGCCCACATGCTCGCCCGCGCCGCTCCGTGGGGACTGCCCTTGCCTGCCTTGCTTCCCGCACGCACGTGGGACTGCCTCCTCTTGTGCCCGCTTCCCGCGTCTGCTTGCAACATGTGCAACATCCCGATCTACTTTTTGTAACATCCAGATGAAACATATGCAAATTACGTCAGAAACAGTTGAAACACTTACAACATACGTCTGAAATACTTGAAAAAAAAACTAAAAAACACTTGAAAACCATTGCAAACATACGCAACATCCAGATAAAACACTTACAACATATGTGTGAAACATATGCAACATCCAGATAAACACACTCTTAACATACGTCTGGAAAAAACAGATGAAACATTAGGAACAAACGCTTGTATCATACACGTGCAACCACTGCTACATATGCGACATCATGATCATTTGCATCATTCATATGAAACATTTGAAACATAGGCTTGCAACATGTCTGAAAATGCCTGAAACACTTGAAAACACGGCGTCATTACCGGGCATGGCCTACTTGGTGGGAAACTGTGGTGGCGCAGGCCTCCCCTTCCTACCAACGGTGTGAGGTAGATGGGGGCGCATGCCTCCCCTGCCTCCCTTTCCGTGACGGGTGAGGTGGATGAGGCATGGCGCTGGATGGTGGTGCGGCGCGAGTGCGTGGAGCAGCACGAGAAGGGCCCAGGTGCCTCGTGGGAAAGGAACAGCGCTGGAAGGGTTGGTGGGGAACTACGGTGGCGCAGGCCTCCCCTTCCTACCGACAGTGTGAGGTGGATGGGGGTGCAGGCCTCCCCTTTCGCGATAGGTGAGGTGGATGGGGCGTGGCGCTGGATGGTGGTACGGCGCGGGCGCGTGGAGCAGCACGAGAAGGGGCCAAGTGCCTCATGGAAAGGAGCAGTGCGGGAAGGGGGCGGCCACACGAGAGAGACGCCGGAGCAGGCACTTCATGCTGGGAGGGAGCGGGGAAGAGAGAGCATCCTGTTGCGCAGCGGTAGGGGTGTCCGGAGGTGCGGCGCGGGGAGGGGCGGTGCCTGGAGCAGGAACGAGTGGACGAGGGGATTTTTTTTGAGAAACTCCTGAGCAGATGAGAGGGGATAGTTGGTTTGGTGTCGCGGCCCACGAAGAAGCGTCCGGACGGACGAACACTCGCACCGCAGCATTACTGATATCTTTATTTTCATAAGGAACATCTAATAATTTCTCTCCAAGTGAATCCTCAGACTACCAACTTTTCCTCGGCCCCCCAAAAAAAAACCTTATATAGAACCATGAATTTTGTACAAACTAGATTAACACCCAACATATTTAGTAATTTAGCAACAAGTTTACAACCAGGAAACAATTCCTTAAATTTTAATTTTTTTATGTAACTGGAACAAGACAAGAAGTTAGTTATTAATACTCCATGCATCCATAAAAGAATTCAATTCTAGTATAGTATCAAGTTAAAGTATCTTGAGTTTGACTAACTATAAATAAAAACATCAATATTTATAATATCAAGTAAGTATTATTAGATTTGCTATGAGATATGTTTTCATACTATATTCATTTGGTGTCATAAGTATTAATATTTTTATCTATATATTTGGTCAAACTTTAAACACAATTAATCAAGAATGTACCTAGAATTGCTTTCTTTTATGGACAGCGATAGTACTATGGGCCATACACTTAAAAAAAAAGGAGACATTATATGGATTTACTCACAGTGGATCCACAAGTCTTGAAATGAAATATATCTAGAATTACTGTTTAAGTCAAGTACTTTTTGACGCATGTATTCCTTGTTGTTAGCCTTGTAAATTGACACTATATGCAATCGTGTAGGTAACGTTATCTCATGAGAATTCAAAATGACAGGATGTGATCAGTCTTGTCTGTCCTTAAGAGACTAGTGGAGCCATGATGCTTGAGTCAGTTCACTGTGAATTTGCAAGATGATGCAAAGAAGCAATTAATATTCGGGAATGCTAATTTTCGAATGCGCACGATCCGGTGGTGTGGCATGCACACTGTCACGGCCCGTCCGATTCGTGGGTGGAAACCGCCCGGCTTTTCGATTCGCGTGCCCCCCCTCCCGGCTGCTGCGCAGATGCTCCTCGGCGGCCATGGTAGCCTCCTCGACGGCCGCTCGTGCTCTCCCCGGCGACCGCGCACTCTCTCCCCAGCGGCCACGTGACCCATCTCCGACGGTCGTGCAAGCCTCCCCACCTCCCTGCTCAACCCTGACGGGCTTAGAAGGGCTCGGGGGAGGCAAACCGGCCAGGCGGTGGGGATGGCAGAAGGGCGACATTAGGGTTCCGGCGGCATAGGAGGTGGTCAGGCCAGGTCGAGGCGGGATGCCTATGGCCATGGCGGCGATGAGAGGGGGGAGGGAAGGAGGAGGTCGCCATGGGCGGTGGGCATCGGCGGAGGCGAGGACGAGGAGGAGGGCAAGGTCGAGGGGCGGGGCCGGGAAGTGGGCGGCGCGACCGGTGGCGGGGGAAGCAGGGGTGGGTGAGGAAGGGGTCGTGAGGAGGGAATTGCATGCGCCTGCGCACGCAGGCCGTAGTAGTGTCCATTCATATTTTGCCATATCGAATGATGACATTTGTAAATGTTTTCTGGAAGCTCAAGTGTACAAAACTGTTGACCGGTGAACAATTCTGCAAACTGAATGTTTCAAAACTACAAAAATTATGCAAATGAATGTCTATTTTCACAAGGAACGGCAGTGAGTTCGGACTGAAGTTTTCCTCTCTTTTTTCCCGAAAGCTTAGACCGTGTATAAACTAGATTAACACTAGCAACAATACAACTTTGCAAGGTATACTGCTTCAATTTTTGAAAAGATTCTCTGTCATTTCATCTTCGTATAATGATTCAATAAACTTATTGTCGGGTTCATAAACCCAGGGTCCCCGATGGGTCCGTTTCCCAGCGAAAACTCAGCCCAGCAGACGGCATTACGACAACATGCGACTCCTGGGCCGGCCCAGATACCTAACGACAGGCCGGATGAGCGATCCAGTCTCCGACCGGAAGGCCTGGCCAAAGAGGAGATGATGCTCGCTTCCGACTCTGACCCCCTTTCCAACCGGGAATACGCTGAACCTCCGCTTACAGCTTCCAACTCCGACCGACACGGTCGGAGCCGACTGGGAACGACCGACCGGGGACGCCCGCTCGGTGAGGACCCGAGAATCAGGCGGAGCAGATAAGGCAAGACGCTCAAGTCAACCGCAATACCGAGGACCATACCCTGCACACCTGCAGGACAGTACCGCCAGACCATGTCAGAAGGGTGCTCTGTAACCTTGCAGGCATGTTAGAACCCAAACAGTGTTGTGGGCGCCAACAATTGCCATACAGTATTGTGGGAGCCATCATCTACCATACCAGGCGAACACGATAAAGCCTGCCACATGAGTCTGACATAAACAATATTGTAGGCGCCAACGACTGTCTTGTACCCGACAGCGTGGGCAACAAGACTTAGTAGCATACGTGCACACACACTCTCTCACTTGTAAGGCCATCCCCTTCACCTATAAAAGGGGAAACGCTCTCTCCCAACAAAGAGAGGCCATTTTCCGACTCTCTCTCTCTCTGCTAAGCTTTAGACATTCGGAGCATTTGAACAGCTCCACAGCTCTAGAACTCTAAAGCTACACAAAGCATACGTTCCAATACTTAGCGCATGTTGGAGCTCCTGTCACTCTTGGCCCTTTGGTTCAGAGTCCGATAGGACCTTTAACACCCCCTTCTTATTCCCATTCGTTTGTAACCCCACAGCAAACTTCGAGCACCTAGGCTTAGAAATAAAGTCACCAACCGACTAGAACTAGACGTAGGGCACGTTGCCTGAACTAGTATAAACCCTATGTCATTGAGTGCTAGACCACATCCGATTACAAGGCACGACAAAACTACAAATATTTACTTGTTGCTCACTTTTCGCACCGACAGTTGGCGCCGTCTGTGGGGAGGACGTCGTGCGTTCACGCTTTTAGTCATCAGATGGCCCACATTTCCACCATCTTTGGCATGACGGGCTCAAGTGATACGATTCGCTTCAGCTCGCTGGAGTTTCCCATGCTCCCACCTGTTGGGATGTGGGTTCCTCCCGTCTTCGGAAGCCTGGACTTCATCGCCGACTAGCTCAACGTGCTTCACCTTCGCAAGGAGGCACTTGTCCCAGCGCCCATCAGAGGAGGAGCGCCCTCCGTCGGCTCTAGGCCACCCGATGACCTCAACGACGAGACACCTACGCTTCGCTTCGAGCCCACGTTGGGCTCAAACTCCACTGTGAGTAACGTACATATTGTTCTTTACTCGTTGTTGAGTACCTTTCGCCGATTCTCCGGGGGGGCCTCGTTGCCCCCGTCGCAATCGCCGTGCGACCGGTTCCCCTACGGCCTCGCGTCCCCCGTGGACGCGTACGCACGGGGGCTCCGAAGGACGCTGATGTCGCCCCCTCTCACATCCGAATTCATGGGGATGGCGAGCTACGCTCCCGCCTCTTTTCACGACCTCGTGGATGACGAGGTTAAAAGCGACGGCTCCAGCATCGGTG